CTTCCAGCACCAGGTATGTCTCTTGCATCACTCACAACCTCGTTCCCCAACACACAGATGCCACATGCACCCAAGGACCACCCTGCGCCACACCCAGCTCACAGCGGCGCAGCTCGGCTATGGCTGCCTGATCCTTCCAGCACGCCCGTGAGCACGTGAGCGCTGGCCAGCTTCAACGCAGCAGCGCCTGAGCAGCATGCAGCCAGCACCCAAATGCCCAATGCGGAGGCAGGCCCTTTGCTATATGGAAGTGGCCTGCCTGCGTTCTGTGCCAGGCTGCGCTGGGCCTTTCCCAAGAAGCTTTCGGTAGGCCCCAGTATGCGGAGATGACCAGGGATCCGGATTACGTAAGAAGGCCCGTCCGGATCCATCCCGACTATATCTAAGACCTCCCATGGTCCAAAGTATTGAGGCATGAGCTTGAGGGAGATCCTGTGCTCTTGTCCCAATTCTGAGGACTTAACCCAGACTCTGTCCCCGGCGGTGTCTGTTTTCAGATTCTATCATTGCCGCCTGTGCCTTTTGCATCTGTTGTACTGCCTGCTGCATCTGCTGTTTGTAACGATAAGCGAACTCTAAGGTACCCGGTGCAGCAGTTGGCTGGTTCTCAGGAAGGAGAAAATCTAAGTGCAGTCTAGGCTTGAAGGTCAGCAGTAAGCTGTTTGGGCTCACCTTGGTGGCGCTGTGTACAGCGTTATTATACAGGCTGGCGATGAGAGCAAGCTTCTCATCCCAGTCCACCTGATTGGGCTTGATGTAATGGCGCAGCAGGTGTTGTACAGCGCGGTTCAGTTGCTCGGCTTGGCCATTGGCCTCTGGGTGATTCCCAGAGGTCATCTGCAACTGTGTTCCCTGTTCGGCAGCAGCGGCCTTCCACAACTCACTGGTGAATCGGACATCTCTGTCACGCACGATGGACTTAGGCAGACCAAATACCCTGACCCAGTTTTCCTTGAAAAGTCTGATTATGTACTCGGTCTTTGCAGTCTCTGGCATGGCTATTAACCTAGCATACTTACTAAACCTATCCACGATGACGAAGATATGTCTCATCCCTCTCTTGCTGGTGACCAGCGTGTCCATGAAGTCCATGGACAAATTCTCGCCAGGCCTTTCTGGAATTGGAAGGGGCTTCAGGAGACCAAGAGGAGCCTGAGTACGTGGCTTGTCCCTCTGACAGACCTGACAAGTCTCCACGTACAGCTGGACATCTCGCATCATCGTGGGCCACCAGAACTGCTGCAGCAGATTGGCTGCTGTCTTTTTGTAGCCAAAACGGCCGGTGGCATCATGACACTCACCTAAAAATAAACTACACAAAGACTCTATTTGGGACACCCAATTGTTTATTCCCTACCTTCTCAAGGAACAGCAAGCCATTGACCAACTCAAACTCGGCAGAAGTCTTCTCATCCTTCGCCTCAAGTCTGCGTATGATCTGAGACATGAACTGGTCCTCGCGATAGGCTTCCACCAAAGAGTGAGTAACATCGTCCGTAAGATCGAACTCAGTAATCAGCGCACCTGAGAAAGCAGGCCTACGCGACAACGGATCATCAACCTTGTTGTACTCGCCCTTGATGTACGGGGGTTCGAAGTCATACTGCTCTGACTTCAATCCAACGCTTCAGAGCGTCGGAGAGCACAGGTTGGGTTCTCATCCACTTCAGGGTCTGGTGATCAGTCCTGGCGTAGAAGAACCTCCCAAGGAGAGTGCCTCCAATGGGTGCGCGCCTTATAGATCGCATAGAGCTCCTTCTCATAGGTGGACTTAGCCAACTTCTGAGAGGGCATCTTTTTGGACATGTACTCTACCGACCTCAACTTTTTCCCCTCTTGTTGTGCAAGCACAACGCCTATGCCATATTGGCTAGCATCCGTAGTTACTATAAATGGCTTGTTAAGATCAGGAAGTTTCAAAACCTCATGATGCGTCAACGCATGCTTCAGATGTCTGAAAGCAGCCTCGCATCTGTCTGTCCACTCCCATGGGGTGTCAAGGCGAGTTAGGTCAGTCAAAGGGGCGGCAACTATGCTATAGTTCTTCACGAAGTTGCGATAGTAGCTGGTCATCCCTAAGAAAGACCTCATCTCAGTCACAGACTGAGGACGGGCCAGTCCCGAATGCTGGCTACCTTTGCGTCATCGGGCTTTAATCCCTCCGCGGAAATCTCATGACCCAGGTACAAGACACGGGTGCGGCCAAACTCACACTTCTCACAGTTGATCTTAAACTTATGCTGTGGCAGAAGACTAAGGACTTTATCCAAGTGCGCAACGTGCTCCTCGACAGTCTTACTAAAAATAAGTATGTCATCGAGGTATTGGATGACAAACTTATCCAAGTAGTCATAAAATATCTAATTCATAGCGTGCTGAAAGGTGCCAGGAGCATTGCAAAGGCTGAAAGGCATCACCACAAACTCGTACCGACCGTACCTGGTCTGAAAAGTGGATTTGTGTTGATCCTCGGGCCGGATTGCAATCTGATGGTACACGGACTTCATATCTATCTTACTGAAGTACCGACACCCTTGCACTCTATCTAACAAGTCGTCGATGCGTGGTAGGGGCTCTCTATCCTTGACAGTGATGGCATTGAGGCCCCTATAGTCAACGCACATCCTAAGTGTTCCTTCCTTCTTCTTGGGTACAAATAGGACTGGAGACCCATGAGGAGAAACACTCGGCCGGATCCAACCCTTTTCTACGAGTTCCTTGAGTTGCTGGCGAAGCTCATCAAGCTCGCCTGGAGACATCTGATAGATCTTACCCTTTGGAATGCTAGACCCTGGGATAATCTCTATCGCGTGGACGACCTCCCTCTCAACAACCCCTGTAGGCTCTTCAAATAAATCAGGGTATTTAGCAACTACTCCCTCTATCTCCGGCGGCATTTTCACCGGCTCGCCTGTAGCAGAGACGTAAAGCTTATAATAATTATAGAACGCGGCCGCACACATGCATCAATAGGAGTCGATTAGACTAGTAGCTTTGAACTTACGTAATCTGGCGGTCCCTCCACCCGGCAAAGTGTGTCTGACCACTTTTCGGTCCCAATCAAACTGGGGCTGTGCCACAGAGAGGTAGTACATACCTGACAAGATATCCATGGGGAGTTCATCACTTACTAGGAACGAGACACGATGTCTCAGTTCCCCTCCCGCGTACGGGAAGCAACACTCAACATTCTGGAGGTAGTCATTGACTACCATGCGCTGTTTGTTGGCACAGGTCGACTCCACAAGTTGACTCAGGTGCTGCACTTGCCCTTGTAAGCGCAGCCTCTCAACACACGCGCGACTATTTGAAGTTCCGGGTCGAGCAAGTGTTATAGTAGGCCCCGGCCTTGCGGCCGCCAATGACCACCTCGCTGACGAACATCTCACCCTTAGGGACTTTGACCAATGTCGTCCAAGAAGCTAGCGGGTCTGATCTAGACCACTCCTCCTCTAGCTCCTCTAAGGACTCAAACACATTCATCGAACAAAGGCTCGATGGGTCTGAACGTGTTTGGGGGATGACGCTGGAGTCATTATCTTGGGCCATCTCTCGAGATTGTGAGGGTTTGTCCACCACCTTGACCCTAGCAGGAACAGCTACTATTCCTACTGGCCCGACGTGTT